TTTTTGAAATTCCAATTTAAAGACAACCCTAAAAAGTGTAGGCAGTGCTGCCACTGAAGCAACGTTCCTCTGTTCGTTAATCGCCTCCCCCAAGTCTCTCCTCTTTGATATATACTTGCTCTATATTTTGAATCCATTGTAACACAAAAATTTTTGACCTAAGTCCCCCATTTCTTGGCTAATAAACTAAAACAAGGAATACTCACTGCTCTTTTTGTTCTCCACCCATTTCCCAGAAAAATTGTCAAAAATTGAACATTTTTGCCACTTTCAGGCCTATTTTAGACCATTTCCACTCTGAAACTGACTAAAATCTCCTCAGTGTCACTAGTATGTCTGCTGATCTGTCTAATGACACCATGAAACAACCAATGAAATCATGAAAAAAAAATTAGAAAATACCTCATGGTCGCCATTTTAACCAAAATGCAAGGTCAGAGGTTAGCTATTATCATAAAATACATGAAGTAGGATTTTTTTTTTACTTCTCGCAACCCTCGCACAAACCTATTCTCTCATCTGTATGCCAAAATTTTGCACTCGCAGGAAATTTAGAGGGAGCTGTGAGTTGTGTAGATCCTGGCCAGCATCACTGTTCCCACTGATATATTTGACCCTCAGTGAATGTGTCGAGTATCATTTACTCCTCTTAGTCATCTAGAGCTCAAGAATTAAAATCTGCATCTTTTCTTATTGTAATTTTTTCCTTTTCATTGGGCAGCTTCTTGAGGAGAGAGATGCACTTCAGCTCAAGTTAAGTGCTTCTCTGAGACAAACACAAGAACTGAGCCGAGAGCTAAGTCTCAGCCACCAGTTACCTGCCTCAGTCTCCCCTGAACCATCCCTTGACCAAAAGTAAGTTTTCACACCACTTGCTTTTTTTTTTTTTATTGACCTCTCTGTGGCTTTACTGAGTTTTGCTGTTTTTTTTTTTTATATATAATAATCTCATTTTTTTCAATATACTGGGTGTCTCCCACTGAGGCAGGGTGACCCAAAAAACAAGAAACATTTTCAGAAAGTATTTCTTTATACAGACAGTAATTTTTATGGGAGAGGGGGTTACTAGCCCCTTGCTCCCGGCATTTTAATCACCTCTTATGACACACAACTTACGGAGGTAGGATTCTTCTCCACTTCTCCACTTCCCCATGGAGTTTTCAATTTTTGTGAAGCATTATATGATTCTCATGGGTTAAGTGAATTTTTTGTGAATATTATCTCCTTTAAAGAGTTTCGAGAGTTTATCTACTCTCTGAGCCCGGCCATGAGCCAGGCTCTATTTATATTTGAAAATAATTAATGCACCTTATTAAGAATGAGAAGTGATATATTATAGAGAAGGTACAGTTGTCTGACAACTGTGAGTAACAAAGTTGTAATGTTATCTTGGGCCAGCAGTCACTGGCAGCAAGAGCCTGGTTGACCAGGTAAGGAAGTCTGGCCTGAGAGCAGGCTACAAGGCTACAACAACTCTCCAACACTGTCATAGTCAGCTTGCTACAATGTAACCTGAAATATTCATGAACTAGAACAGTAGTTACATCATAGTTATGGTTGAGAGAAGATGAGTGTGCTGAAGGTATCCTGCATATAGACAAGAAAATAATGGAAATGATTCTATATTTCAACACTGAACTGGAGTCCTCATCAGCAGTATGCACTGGAGGCAAGAGGGCATTTTTTTTTTTCTTTGAACATACCAGCTGCTTCCCACTAAGGCAAGGTGACCTGAAAGAGGGAAACTAAAGTTTTTCTTCTTTTTACATTTAGTAATTTATACAGGAGAAGGGTTTACTAGCCCCTTGTTTTTTTTTTTTTTATACACAAATCGATGTTACAAACTCAGAGCTGTTATCCTACCTCAGTTCATTTCAAAGCTCAGCCTTATCTAAGGTATACTATCACCCCCCAGGATGTGACCCACACCAATCGACTAACCCAGGCATCTTACTGCTAGGTGAACAAGGACAGAAAATGTAAGGAGATATGACCATTGTTTTCACCTGTATCTGGGACTGAGCCACAAACACTTGGTGTGTGAGCTGAGTGTCCTACCAACCAAGCTATGGGAAACCTTATACAGTAGTCTCCCAGGTATCTGTGAGTGATATATTCCAAGACCTACCATGGATTCCTGAAACTGTGGATAGTAACTAACCCTATATACGAGTTGTATTTCATTCACATACCTACGATAGTTTAATTGATAAATTAAATGCACAAGAAGTGGAAAATTAGCATTTTTTCACTGATGGGAGGCACTTCACGGCTTCTCTTATGTTTTGAAGAATTGTCACCATCATTACTTTTGTGCTTTGGGGCCATTATTAAGCAAAATTAAAGGTTATTTTAGGGTCACAGTAAACCATGGATAACTGAAACTGTAGAAACCAAATCTGGGGATACAGGGGTTCTACTTTACAGGAGTACCTTGCTTTAAGGTGTTTCACTGTAGAGTTTCCCATATACAGCACTTTTTCAATTGTGTATTATGTTAATTATTATTAGTGCTTGGCTTGCTCTTAAGATGGTTTTCGGTGGTGACACGCACATCAGCTAACTGAGCCGAATCAAACATTGTGTTTTAGGCTTAGCTCTATTGCCCACTTAATAAATGATTGTGTTCTTTGGAACCTAACCCACTGTATAAGTGAATCGTAAAGGCTCGACTAGTCATGTGAGAAGCTAAGTGCAACGGTACAGCTGAGATATACAGATACCATCTAGCAGTATCAAAATCAAAGGCATCAAGATCTCCAATCTCACTCCCTTGATAATCAAAATTTGTCTTATCCTCATTTAGTTTCAATTTTCTGTGTCATCCAAGTGCCAGTATCCAGTTACAGAGAACTAAAACAGAACTTTATATCTTCTGCATACAAAACCTGGATGTAAACTTGTAATAATCAGATAATAATCATCTCTGAGTATCCAACATTAAAGTTAAACCACTAACATAAAAAGTAAACAATACTGGTCAAGAATGAGACACTTGTGCAACATATGGAATCTTTATTGAGAAAATGTTTTGCCACACAGTGACTTCATCAGTCCAATACAAAGAAGAATGGTGTAAGGGGAGGAGTTTGAGATAATCAGTCCCTCAGCCTGGAGTCAATAATCAGTCCCTCAGTCTGGAGTTACTTTTCTCTTTCTCAGACGAAATCTAACTACCTTTCATTCCTCACATACTATACAACCTTATGGGTTAATTGCTTCCCTATGAATATATTGTTAATTTCCTTTCATCCCTAGACACTGTTTGACCTCTGAGAGTTGAATGTTTTAACATAACAGTAACAAGACAGGGTACGTACTGTTGAAATGTGACCTAGGTAACTTGTATGAAGGGTTCCAGGAAACTGGTTACCCAGACTTGGGTCCCAAAGAGAATAAAAAGTCACAATAGAACGGCTGGAGCAATACACAAGTAACCTGCACTTAGTAGAGTGTGGTTTATTTGTGGTATTTGTGAATCTGTAAAGTAAGAATTACAGTGCCTGCACTCTGAAGGAGTACATACATAGAATATTGCACCCTGGCAGTGGAAAGTACAGTGGCTGCACTCTGAAGGAGGACTGGAATGTTATAGTTCAGAGAGTAATATAAATGTGATAGTACTGTAGTGCACTTGTCAAGTCAGTGATTAATGGAATAGTGGTGAGTGTGTTTACTGGTAGGTCCTCTGCCTTGCATAACCAGTGAGGTTAAAAACAAAAAAATGAGCAAGGGGCTAGTAACCCCTTCTGTATACATTACTAAAAGTAAAAAGAAGTGATTTTCTTTTTTGGGTGACCCTGTCTCGGTGGGAGACAGCCGGTGTGTTATAAATAATAATAATGCTGGTTGGTCCCTGATTCATTTGTTACATTGCAGGTTAGCTGAGCTTCGAGAATTGAACGACACACTGGAGCAGAAAGCTCTGTCACACTTGCAGAGTGCAGTGTCTAGTAGCATGGGTCGGAGAATAACTATCAGTGGTCTACCACCTCCCCCTATGTTCACCCCTCACACTGCTCACCTACCCCTACTGCTACCAGACATGCCGATTACACACTTAGTAAGTTACCTTCCACCTAGTCTACTTGTGACTTTCTAGAAGCAATAGCCTGCTTGACCTTTCAGTCAGTAATGTGTGCTCAACCCAATTAATGACTAAAATATGCCATACAACCACTCACAGCCTTATCTTCTCTAGCTGTATGTATTTCTGGTCTTTCCACTGTCAGACTAGTGATATACTGGCTCCCTTACCTTTGTGTGTTAGTGTGTCACTAGTTAATGGTCAAAAATCATACCAAAACATTGTCATAAGTTTTCTTCTCCTAAGTGTGGGTTATTATGTCTATATTTCTGTTTACTTAACTTACAAACTAGTTATATTTCTTACTTACTAGTTACATTTCTAATTTACTAGTTATATTTCTAACTTTCAATCACTCTTTCCTGAGTTATCATCCCAGGACTACAGAATGCCACGTCTCTCTCCCCTGCACCCACTACCAACATCTCAGTCCCAGAAATTCAAGCCACTCATCAGTGCCTAAGATAACATAAAAGCTGACAACCATGTCCCAGACTTGAATGGAGAAACCTCAGCTTCTACACCACACTTCAATAATAATAATAATAATAATAATAATAATAATAATAATAATAATTTCTACACGTACAAGATAACAGACCATAACTGACATCAATGACATACTATTGTATAGAAAGCCTCACATTATACAGAGCATTTCCTGACAAATTAGATCAATTTTGTCCCAGGATGCAACCCTCACCAGTTGACTAACACCCAGGTACCCATTTGTTGAAGGGTAAACAGGGACAACAGGTGTCTTATAGAAACACATTCTAATGTTTTTCTGCTGTACCAGGGATTGACCCTGGACCACAATATGTGAGCTCATGCGGTAGCAATCAAGCTACCGTATACCCCAAGGAACCACAGGAGGGCCCTTTGTTTTCAGCTCCATTTTGTTGTCCCTCTTTTTTGGCAGTTTTCAGTTGAGCTGTTGTTCATTATGTTCATTGCTTTTTCTGCTTTTCCACTATTTTTGTTTTTTTGTGCAATACTTGCATAAGGGAAGGGTGATTGGTGCTGTATTTTAAGGTAAGTATTGTATGTACCTAGTGTATTTATTTTAGTTTTGTATTTTTTTTTATCCCTAGCAGTATTGAGCACTTTCAGGAAAGTTTTTTTACAACTGAATTTTAAACAAGTTAACGCATTTGGACTATAAAAAAATGTTCAAACACTAGGTCAATTTTTCCTGATCAAAATTGTTGGAACTCCGGTTTGTTTGAGGTCCAATACGTTCCAGCATTGGGGTTCCACTGGACTTTCTTTAAAAGTCACATCAACAAGAAGGATGTCCCCTCATACCTATACCACTTACCCACAGAAGACTTCATAAGATTCAAGAATCGATTACGAACCATGAATTCACAATAAGTTTTCAGATCAACACTGCACTGCTTGCTGATACATAGTAGAACATCTGTATCCACTGATTCGGTTTTCTGCTGTTTCTGTTATCCAAGGTTTACTGTGGCCCAAAAATGCCTCCTAATTTTGCATAATAATGGCCCGAAAGTGCAAAAGTAGAGAAGCTGGCAGGTCTTCAAAGCCTAAGAGAAGCCATGAAGAGCTTCCCATCAGTGAAAAATTATAATTCTCCAATTATTGTGTATAATTTATCAGTTAAACTTTAGGTATATGTAGGACTTTCTATGTAGGGTTTGCTATAATCCATGGTTTCGGTATCCACAGTAGATCCTTGGAATGTATTCCCCACGGATATGGGGATCCTACTGTATACCTCCTTAACTGGAGTACCTCCCTGTCATTATCACCACCACCAGCTACCTGCTGGTGTACTGTCCTCATCTTCCTGAACTGCAGCACCTCCCTGTCATCATCATCACCACCACCAGCTACCTGCTGCTGTACTGTCCTCATCTTGCCATCTATGCTTTGCTGCAGGGTTAATTGTTTTGGCACTGTTTCTTCAACTGAAGACATTCCTCTCCAGTGTTATTCTCATCTGTCCCCACTTCCCCCACTCTCTCCTTACCTGAGTGTGTGTGTCTGTCTGTGTCAGATAGTATTGTGTATTTACAAGTTAGTGATTGAGTAAATACTCAAAACATTATGTACACTTTGGAAGAACTTAATATGGTGCATAAGAAGTATATGAGATGACAGAATCCAAATAACCACAGCACCCTAAATGGCCATTACAAGATACATAGATACAACATTGTGAAGCAGTAGTCGACACCTTGACAAATAAGAGCAGAATTGGATAGGGATTATCAAGTGCCAGGGGCCAGGATCTATGACTTCACCCCTGCAACCATGAATAGGTGAGTACACAGGGGTCTTAAAACCAAAGCAGAGTCCCATTTACAGTGCTAGACAGTGCAATTACCATGTAACTTGATTGTGGCAGTGCATAGATAACCTACAATGTAATATCTAAGGTAGGGAGTTTTCATTGCATTTATGGATTTAGAAAAGGCCATATGATAGTGGATAGGGGAGCAATGTGGCAGATGTTGCAAGTATATGGAATAGGTGGTAAGTTACTAAATGCTGTAAAGAGTTTTTATGAGGATAGTGAGGCTCAGGTTAGGGTGTGTAGAAGAGAGGGAGACTACTTCCCGGTAAAAGTAGGTCTTAGACAGGGATGTGTAATGTCACCATGGTTGTTTAATATATTTATAGATGGGGTTGTAAAAGAAGTAAATGCTAGGGTGTTGGGGAGAGTGGTGGGATTAAATTATGGGGAATCAAATACAAAATGGGAATTGGCACAGTTACTTTTTGTTGATACTGTGCTTATGGGAGATTCTAAAGAAAGTTGCAAAGGTTAGTGGATGGGTTTGGGAGTGTGTGTAAAGGTAGAAAAATGAAAGTGAACATAGAAAAGAGTAAGGTGATGAGGGTATCAAATGATTTAGATAAAGAAAAATTGGATATCAAATTGGAGAGGAGGAATATGGAAGTGAATGTTTTCAGGTACTTGGAGTTGATGTGTCAGCAGATGGATGCATGAATAATGAGGTTAATCATAGAACTAATGAAGGAAGAAAGGTGAGTGGTGCATTGAGGTATATGTGGAGATGAAAAACATTATCTATGGAGGCAAAGAAGGGAATGTATAAAAGTGTAGTGGTACCAACACTCTTATATGGGTGTGAAGCTTGGGTTGTAAATCTGCAGTGAGGAGGCAGTGGAGATGTCCCGTTACGGGCAATGTGTGGT